GAGCAATGATATTCCTATGATTAATGCAGCTAGTGTTGGAGTTGGGATATACGGAAAAGAAGGAAGTCAAGCAGCACGTTCTGCTGATTATTCAATTTATAGATTTAAACATTTAGGGAAGTTAATTCTTTATCATGGAAGAATGTCGTTATATAGAAATACGTCATTAATCAAATTAATCTTCTTTAAAAATGCCGCTTTCTTTTTACACCTTTTATGGTTTGCATGTATTTGTATGTTTACTTCACAAAGATTATATGATGATTATATGATGGCATTGTATAATTTCATATTTACTTCTATTCCTCCAGTATTTATTTCTTTCTTTGATTCTGATTTGTCATGGAAAGAAATTAAAGAAAATCCACAAGTGAACAGAGAATTAATTCGAACTAAAAGAGGTAATTTATTATCTTATATTGGATGGTTTATATATGGAACATACCAATCAATGGTTTATTTCTATTTAATGATTATATTTACTTCTAATGATGTTATGACATTAAATGGAAAAACTTCAGGAATGGTTGGAGCAAGTGCTATTGTAACAACTTACACAACATTAGGTGTTATTGCCACATTTGCTACTACTGTTAAAAGATGGAATGGATTAATCATTTTTGGATTTTGTGTTTCAATTGGATCTTTCTTCTTCACTTATTTCTTCTTAGCTTCATTCAATGGGGCAACTCGAGAAAATATGAGTTATTTCTCATTATGGAGGGCATTACAAATGCCATACTTCTATTTATACAGCTTATTGGCTATTATTCTCGCTATCACTCCAAATATTCTTAAATCCTTCTTAAGCAGATATATTAATCCTCAAAATTATGAACTTATTCAAGTCTTTTCTAAAACAAAAGATGATAAACTTAAGAAAGAAACAAAAGAACAAGGAAGTGGATATACAGTGTTTCATGATAAATAAATTCTAGTTTTCAAAATATTTTTGTTATTTTTTATTTCTTTCAATTACTATCTCAGTAAACTTAATCTATCTTTGAAGGAAGTTTCTTTGTTTGATTTACTTTTGATAAAATAGTAAAGATATTATCATTTATATTACTAAATCACTTTCTACTATAAAATCTAATATGTAACTTTTTAAAGTAACCTATAAGTAAAATAAATGATGAAAATAGTGTTGTCATAAAAATAAAATACCTTCTATCTATATTCAATTATAAATTAAACAGTATATGTGAATCAAACTGAATTCGTTTAAACTCTTTATTTCTTTTATTATTATAATGACCATTATATTTGATAATCAAAATATATAATTTAGATATGAGTTTCGATTTTTTTTTTAATTCTTGAGAGTGGTTATTACATTTCTCATAATCCAGTATACCTAATGGAATGAATTTTCTTCACTAAAACATTTTGAATGCTTATTTATTATTACATAATATGTTATTGTATAATAACTGTAATATATTATATTTTAGTTCATATTGTTTGAATATTACTCTTTATAACAATTTATTTCTCATAACAGTTTCTTACAACCACCTTGAATCATTATTAAATCAAGATAACTTGTACATACTTATTTCAAACACAATTGAACTAACAAATATTACAGCTGTGATTGAATACATGTTAAAAGTTTATTATTTTATGCATAACAATACTAACAAACATTCAATAAACCTAAGAGAGGTAATTTTTATAAACACAATATAAATATAATATTCTATAATGACCACGTTTTTCAAAAATAAAAAAGTAATGTTAAAATAATTTAATTACTAATTTAGAATTTTCTTTAACCTCTTAAAGATATTTTATTATAATTATCTATTTTCTTTAAATTTTTATAACACAACACTCTTTAAAGTAATCACTCAAAGAGCAAGTGTTTTTATAATTAATTAATTCATCTCGAGATATTGTATTTAAAGGAATTAGAATACATCTAATTTAAATTATTTTAATAAACAGGATTTTAAAAAGAACAAAAATAAAACAAATAAAGAAAAATAAAAAATTCCTCACCAAACAGAAAAGAACAATCTTTAAAATCTTATTATTGAATCAATTTCATGTCAGGAGCCCAAGCTCATTTGAATGCTCAAAATAAAAAATTTACATCAGGAATTAAACCAGCCAAGAAAGAAGAAAAAGCAGCAGTTGGACCAGTAGTTTTAGCTATATTCTTATTTGTTGTTGTAGGTTCAGCTGTAATTTCACTCTTCAGAGTGATGTAAAACAAACAGACATTCATTCAACGTAATTGATTCATTAAATATTGCTTGTTTATTTCTTTAATAAAAAAGAATAAATTTCAAAGAAGAGTATTAAAAAAAAGAGATTGAGTTAATGAGTTTGAAGCCATTTTTCACAACTTAA